TAGTTGCAGTTCTGTTTACCAGCATGGCATAGACCAGTCAGTTACGGTCGATTCTAGGGGACGTGGAGGTAAAGACCCGCAGTGGGAAATGATCCGCAGTACATTGAAATTTCCCGCTATTATTTTACGCGGCCACAGTCCGTGTTTGTCCGTAGCAAAACATTAGCAGACGATCCACAATTAATGACATCTGTCTCAGATGGTAAAGAAATTATAAAATGAGGTAAGTTATTTTTTCGGGTATTTACTATAGATTATAAGGTAATTCATGTCGATTTTTTTGAAAATATACTAGTCCCAGTTAATTACAAAATGGTTTTATAGTTATGTCTGGGGCTAAACTGATAATTAACGGGGCTGATGTAATTCATGTTTTTGGTAGGACGACTCTCTGATGCCACTGACAATTATTTGTGAAATGGAGAAAAAATCCGCATATGGCGCGGGAAAAACCCCCGCATGCGGATCTTTCCCACTTTTTTGTTAAATAATTTGCAGTCAATTTAACTAACTTTTCATTATAATAATTAACAATGATATGCCCTTGTACGTGGCAACAGTCTTATACTTTATTATGCTATTTTTTAGGAACTATAAAAAAACAGCTCAGAAGAGTTTTTACAAAAGGCCAAAGATTTGATTTCCGAAGGAAGGAACCAAGAAGGCAGCTGAAGTTATTGGGTTTGATGAGTCCACTCTGTGCAATAGGTTGAAAATAGGCACTGCGTCTATTAAATTTGGGCGTTTTAAGACTGCTTTTACGGTGGATGAAGAAACACAGCTATTGTCCCATATAAAATCATCGGACCGTCGTCCGATGATATTTGCTTTATGAATTTGCCGAGAAAAATAATATTCCTCATCGATTTCAAGAAAACTCTCGTATGGCAGGAAGACATTTCGCTAGGCAATTCATGAAGATGAACAGATTGTCCTTACGGACTGCCCGAAAAACAAGTGTGGCCAGAATAATGGGGTTTAATCGCCCCCAGCTTAAGCAATATTTTGATAATTTGGAAGAAGTTCTAAAGAAGTTCAAGTTTTGCCCAGAACAAATTTTTAACATGGACGAGACCGGGTTACAGACTGTGTCAAACAAGCTGCCTCTTCATGTTGCACCTACGGGACAGAAAGAAGTAAGAAAAGCCACTCCAGCCGAACAAGGCCAAACCGTGACTGTTGTCTGCGCATTGAGCGCAGTTGGGCACCACATACCTTCCTTTTTTATTTTCAAGCAAAAAAGGTTTAATGCCCAGCTCATTAATCATGGACCAACGGGTTGTAATATGACCGTGAGCGACAAAGGATACATGACGACTGAAGTCTTTCCCAAACGGTTAGACCATTTAACAAAATTTGCGTGGTGACTGCAGAGAAGCCGAAACTTTTGTTACTGGACATTCAGGTTTCACATGTCAGTTTACCTTTCATAAATTCGGCAAGGGCTAATATATTCATGTCTTAACTTTGCCGCCACATAGCAGTCAAAAAACGCAGACCCTGGACAGAGCCTTCTTCAGGCCATTCAAGGCCTACTACGATGAGGCAGCTGATAATTGGACAGTCAATCATTCAGGCCAATCACTTTCAATTCACAACGTTGCAGAGCTATAGTAGCTTGAGCCTTCGAAAAGACAGCTACTGTAGAGACTTTTTTTTGATTGATTCGGCTGTTACTTGATGAAGATCCATAGTAATTTCAAAAACTACACCTCAACGATTTGATCTCCACAAACTTTATTTGAAAAATATATCACATATATATCAGTGATTTGATACAAATCACTTGAAAAAGCTAATGTCTTAGCGAAACATGTGATATATTTTTCAAATAAAGTTTGTGGAGATCAAATTGTTGAGGTGTAGTTTTTGAAATTACTGTAGAGACAGCGGTAAATGCATTCCGTAAAATAGGTATTTTTCCTTTTTCCATCAGAGGTAACTGAACAAAAAGAAGTGGAAGATCCAGACGAATGTCTTATCATTGGAGGACGTGCTTAATGAAGGCGTGCCTGAGGTCGTTCATGAAGAAGCATCTGAGGTCCTTAATGAAGAAGTGGCTGAAGTCGTTACCGAAGCACCTGCAATCATTAATGGAGAAAACCCTGAGACCAATGAACTTAATCCTGAATCATCTGTAAACACAACACCTTCCATGAAACCAATAATTAGGCCTATAACAACAACGCCAAAGGATATTATTCCTCTTCCAAAAAGTGCAATTAAGAGGAATAGGACAGGAAAAGAACTCAAATCCGCCAACATAACTGCTTCCCCATGCAAAGCCAGTTTAGAAGCTGCGGACGAACTGAAGAGGCAAAAATTAGCCAAAAAAGAAGAGCGAAAGACTAAACATGCTAAAAAGTCCCCTGTGATAAGACGTAAATTATATTATTCATGAGATGAGTCAGAGACTGTTGTCTCTACTCATGACAGCAACAGCAGCTGCGGAGAAATTTTCAGAACGGAAGCATGATGAAGATGTTGATGAAAATTTTCAAGATAACCTATAACCTGGAGACTATGCATTGGTAAAGGTTTATGTGGAAAAGAAAGACTGGACACTATTGTGCCTAAGTTACTGGGCATGCCAATGGTGGCTATGAGGTGCAGTTCTTTAAGAGGATGCCACAAAGCTACCGTTTTTCAATTACAGACAAGGAAGCCTTTGTCATTCAAAAGACATTGTGGAGAAGCTAAGCCCAGTGCTTAGCAGCTGGTAAGCGATTTCGGGACATGATAACATCTCGAATGACTTAAGTGATTATAATCTCCATTAAAAGAAACTTACTTTGGAAAAATGTAACTTTCCAATTATTTTAATTTAAGTTTAATCCTATAGGGTAGATCCACAATAATTTGGGAAAAGATCCACACGCGGGTCATCTTTTCCCCCTGGTAGGAGGTAAAGGCCCGCATGGACACATTTTTCTCTAGCTATTTTGGCATGAAATCATTAGTAACGTAAGGAAGATCTTAAATGACTATGTGATAGGTAACTCAATGAAGTAACAATACCGTTTACAGCAATCTTGTGAGCATTACTTTACCTGTAATACATTGAAAACAAAACAGTGCGGGTCTTTATCCCCATGTACCCTATACATTTCCTAGCCAGAGATAATCCCATATATTTAGGTAGTGCATTGTCAAATGCTCCTTCAATATCAAAAAATACAGCAACCGCAATCTCCTTGTTGTCAAGGGATTGGGAGATTTTCTCGGCAAGGTTGTTTAATGCTAAATCTGTCGATTTGCCAGTTTGATAAGCATACTGGTGGTTACTCGGGGGGGGGAAGCATATAATGCTATCCTCCTGATGTGTCGGTCCAGTATCCTCTGAAGTCCTTTCAACAGGAAGGATGTAAGGTTGATTGGTCGTACCGATTTAGGGTGTATATATACCACCCTTGCTGCCAACCAACTGGGTGGTATATTGTTCCACGCCAGAGTAGCTCATCTAGACAATTTTGTGAGAATAGTTAAAATTATTTCCAGTCCGTTTAGTAGAAGAGCTGGAAATATACCATCCTCTCCAGAAGATTTGAAGGGCTGAAACGACTTTATAGCTCATTCAACTGCCGGTGCTGTGGTAACCTTCTTTGTAACCTCCCAATCGTTCTTTTTTGGACGTTTAGCGCCCTCGAAGTTGGGAGGTCTGTTGTTATCAAGAGTCAGATTTCCAGGAAAGTGGTTTTCTATCAAAAGCTCTAACGTTTCTTTACTAGAGGTTGTGAAGGAAGTACGAAGGAAGTTTCTAAGCAAAAAAACTACTAGAGACTATTCAGGATATGTTTACACTTTTCCGGATGTGAAAGACGAGTATGAGTACAGTTTACAACAAATTGCTGGAAAAATTATCCTCCGAAAAGATATGGAAGAGGTCTTCTTAGATTTGAAATTTGTTTATGTGAATATAATAAACAATTCAAATAGATTTTGATGTTAGATAATAGATATACCTGTTAACATGTACTTGTACCAAAGAAAAAATGAAATTAAAAAATATCTGTAGAGTTCACATACAAAATTTCTTCAATCCTATACACCCCACAAGAAGGTGAATACGATAAGGCATAATAAAATCATGACCGATCCTGTTCACCACAAATGACAGGTGAAGAGGATCATCCAACAAAAAAAAAATATATATGGACAACAAGTCGGCATAAAAAATATTTGGATTCAAAAAGGATAGCCCAGGTATAAACTGATGTTTTAGGAGAGGCACCGCTTCAAAATATAAAAGTGATCCTATTCACCCCATTCTACGATAACTACAAAATTAAAATATAAACATCTGAACTACTATAAAAATAATTTAAATTATTTGGTAATGTTGGAAAATACAAATAACTAAAGATGAAAAGGATATCCGGTAACTATCCAGTTCTGATGGCAGAATTACATACATTTTTCAGTGCTATCTCATTGCAGCAAAATTTGGTTGTGTTTCACCCAGAATTTGAAAGATTATTTTTCTATTCAATGGTGACACATTTTTAAATACTTCAAACTTTAATTATCCAAGTTGGGTAGCTGTGGTCCAATGGAGAATTTAACTTTGATCGTTTTGCCCATAACTGTGACGGGCATCCTCAGCAGTTTAAAATCTGTTTTTCCGTTAATCAGCTGTCGCCCCCATACGAACGAAAACTCTCAGAAGTTGAGAACTTGTGCGAGCTAAGGACTAACGAGGTCTTACCTTTTAATGTGTGATTCCTAACACGGTTGCAGAATCATTCCAGCTTCAACGGTATGGTAGACTCATCAACGAGTCTACCATGCCAATTAATTTATTATGAAATTAAACTGAATAAGCCCATTACTAATTTCAACTAGTATTAATAATTCTCAGTGGGAATTACATATTTTTGGACTTGACTGCATGAAAAATTTCTTATGCAGATTAAATCTTTAGGTTTTAGGAACATTCATGCATACATATACATAGTTTGATATTAGAAGTTGAACATAACCAAAAAATAAAACAATCTGGATTCAATAACATGATTTTTTTTATTAATGTGAATGAATATTATTTACAATAGCTACAGAAGTCCTTTCTATAAGAAGTATACATTTTATAGATAACAAAGTTTTTCACAGCCCTGACATAATTGACAATAAACAATAAAAATTTGTTAAACAATGTTTGAGTAACTCATGATTGGTTGACATAGTAGTGTATACTACAATAGTAATATAGTCCTCATACTTTGCTGGCTTAATTTAATAATACATTTAATTGGCAACAATTAATTTGCATAAAATATATTACAGTTAAGCTTGTCGACTGTTACCGAAAACTTTCAGAAGTTACAGTTTTGGGTCACTTTACAATATATGAATTCATTTGCTAAATATCAAAACTCTGTCCACTTGGTTTGCTTGAGAACATTTCTATTATAACATGAATGTAGTCAATGCAGTCAATTTGGCAAATATTTTTTGAATAGGTATATTGACGCCTCAATCCAACCACAATTTATATTCAGAAGAATTCAGTCACCAACCAAAATAACGATTTCAAAGTAGGTAGAATTTCAGTTATTTTTGCAAGTAATTTGAAGAAACTTGTCAATAAACCTCTGCATTATCTTCTAAGTCAATGGTTTTTCTCTTTTTAAAGATTCTCTTTGTGCCTTTCAAATCAGAAATTTTTCGTTTCCTAGCCTCTTTCTTTCTCTCGTGTCTCTTGATTTTCTTTTTTGCATAAATTTCTGGATCGGTTACTGCCAATTGTTTTCGTGTTCTTTTTCTTTCTGCTCTTTTCACAGATAATGTTTGTTGAAGCTTTGAAATCATATCTGTATAAATTTCCATGCCCAATTTCGTCTTCAACAAATTTGAAACTTCTTTTGCTAGTTGTCTGAGCGGGGCATTCTTTTCTTCTGTAGTTATCATTTCCCGTACCAACGGAGCCATTAGATGATGAAGAACTGGTAAAATATTTCCCACGTCCAAAGCTGTAGCAACACCAGCTATCCATTTGAATACTTCTGTTCGCAAAGTTATATCAGAAGAATTCTCAACAATTTCAGTGTTAACTACTTTTCGTAACCGTTTCGCTATCCATAGTAAGTTCAATTTATTTCCATCCTGGCCATTATCGATGGGAATGCTCTGAAGAACCTTTGCAACAAATACAAGATTTTTGATAACTTGCTCTGCTAAATCACTTTTAATTCCACCTGGTTGTAGTTGATCACACAAATCTAGAGTTAGAGATTTAAGGGATTTAGATGGATTGTTGAGAAGGTAACCACTGCTCTCTGACTTACATGATATCAAAAGTGTTGCTAAATGTTCTATATCTATTGTCGATAAGACATAGCCCAAAAATTGAGCTGCTGCTAATCTAACCCAGTCATGAGGGTAACTTAACAAGGCTTGGGCATTAACTGATAAATCTTCAATATCTCTGTGTTTCAGAAAGGAAGGACAGTTTGCTGACAACTTAAGAAGAAGTTGTAGAACTTGAAATAAGTGATGGTCTCGAATTCTTTGGTGTTCTTCTGAGCTTTTATGTTTGTCCTCTTTCCTGACTTTAACCATCTTACCAGGTAAATTATCGAAACCAAATTGTTTCAAAATCAGTGGCATCACAATAGGAAAACGAGTCTCAAAATTTGTTTTTTCTACCAAAACAAACAGACCGCATAACTGACTTGCAAGACGGCAATGGCCTATATTTTTGTCTTTCATCCAAATAATAAGTATGTCAAATAGAGAGTCACGATCCAGCTTTGATAACCTATTCAACATTGTCGTTATGCACTCAGCAACTTTTTTTCTGCAATCAGGTTCTTCATCATTTACTAACCTTGTTCCTAATGTTATCAGTAACGTTCCACTATGATATTTCAAAATGTCAACTGGAAAAGTATTGATCAACAAATGTATCATTTCTAGAGAGGACTCCCTGCCAAACTTCAATTCGTAGCTCATTTGTGAAAGATAAAATCCTAAATGCTTTTCCAAAGTATTTCCTAGAGGATACTCCATAAGGAACTGGTGGAATATCCCTCTAGCTTGACTTCTTATATAATCCAGTTCCGAAACTATACTGAGTTCAGCTACTTTTTCCATCACGTCATTCAACTCAGGAATATTGACTTTTCTAGCAATAATGGCTTTCAACAAATTGAAGGCAGTAACTTGTCTATCATGATCATGAATATCTTGTTCTATATACAAAATGAGAATTTTTATCTGATTAGTGTCGATGGTATGAAATTTGACATCCCTTACAAGCACTGCCATTGATTTGAATGCGGAAACAACTAAATCAAAATTGTCTCCTTTACTAAGACCTGCTGATGCATATTTATGTAAAATACTGAATATATCTTTGGTGATGGATTTGATGTGACATCTAAGAGATGGCAAGTCATATTTCAATATCCATGATAGACATTGAAGTGTTAAAGTACACAATTTCACATGTTTAGATTTTAAGCAGTTCTTAAATATCACCACAAAAGGATCAACAAATTTCCTGAATTCTTCAAATTTCAACTTTTCCCTTTTCAATATTACTAGACACAATCTCAATCCAAATTCAATCAATAAATGAGCATTTGTATCTACTGCAGTCTTAACATTTTGCCTTCTATATAACTCTCTATTTCCAGGGACTTTGGGGATTATAAAACAATCCTCTTTCTCTTCCAAACGTTTATCGCTTGCTTTTTTGGATACTTCCTTTTTCAACTTAGGAATTAGTTGGGGAATGCTTTTCGATGCTGTACCATAAGCAAATTTCAACAATGAAGTAACAGAGATAAAGGTATTATCTACCAAGCCTAATGCAACATGTTTCAATGCTGTTTGTGCCTTGACCGTAATTTTGAAAGAATGTGAAGTCTCCAAAACTTGTTTTATAGGTAATATTATATCTAACAGACAGGACTCTGTTATGTATTGAGACATAATCTGAAGGGTGTCATAAGATTTGGACTGCCTCGCTTCAGCAACTTTCACAGCAATTTTAACGACTTCTTTTTCTTCTGATAAAGTACCGAACAGATCAGCAGTGCAAAGATTCATTACTGTTAGTAATATATCATCGATATCTGAAGGTTCATACAATTCCTTCAAGCAATTCAGAATGCCATGGATTGTGAAGACTAGAACATGAACTTGATAACCTCTATTCAGAAGGGACGCCATCTCTCCTAACAGTAGTGCCAAATATTTGGGTCCCAACGTTAACATAATTTTTTGTAATGTCTCTTTAGCTACTCTTCGAACACTTTCCAGATGTGATCTGAGGAAAGTGCAGGTTTTCATAAAAATACCTGGTAAATTATCTTCTAAAATCTGCTTGGGTAGCCTTTGCAGAAGTTTCACAAGAGCTAACGAAATAGGAACACGCAATAAATCTTCTTCTTCTCGATCGCTGCCAGTTTTTTTTCTGTTAACTTTATGAGAGCTTTCGTGTTGTGTCATCTCTGCCAAGGACCTGTGAAGCATTGGTAAAAGTACCAACTTTATTGTCCTAATTACTCTTGTAGCTGTAGATTTGCATAACACATTAACTTTTTCACATACCTTCACACCACTCTCAACTGCATCTTCATCATTTTCACCGACATTCTCGTCATCCTCATCCTGTTCACTTTCTAGTTCAGAATAAGTTTGATCGTCCAATAAGTTTTCTTTTTCTTCTGCGGAATTGTCCAATAAGTCTTTGTTCTCAACGATATCATCCAATGGAGATTCTTTTTCTTCGGATTTATTTGTTTCTGCAATTTGCGTTTCTGTTTCATTCAGGATGGCCCTTCTAAGATCAAAATGGAAGGCATCCAGAATAGATACAATCAATCGGACAAGTTGCTTTTGAAAGTCTAGTTTGCCACTCAATTTTGTCAAGTAATATTTTAATACTCCTTCGTACTGATGCCAAGGCAAAATTCTACAAGCAGTACCAACAGTTTCAATAGCTGCATCAATAAGACTGTTCTTACTCGAAAACTTTTCTTTGCAGAGGTAATGTGTTGTTAAAGGCAGAATAAATAGCATTATAGTTTTGGGATTCAATGCTGATAATTGTTCTCTGGTAACATGGCAGAATTTCAATAGCGCCCTTGCTTGTCTGTGAATCTGAAGATGAATCAAATTTTCGAAAAAATCTACTTCCAAATCATTTTTGTTTGTGAACTTATTGAGATCTCTCAAAATTACATGACATTCTGGACACTCTCTAGCTAAATGACCCAACAGTGAAATATATTCATTGCGGATTTCATCTTTAGGACTTTTGAGCCCAGCTCTTATCAAGGTAAATAATGTCCCATCCAAAATGTAGTCGCTTTGCCTATTATGCTTTTTTAACAATTCAGAAGATGTACATTTGAGAGTATGAGAACTAATTTCTCTTAGCGATAAATCTTTTTCACTTTTCATAAAAAAAGAGCAATTATATACAACAAGAATTCCCAAATGAATGTTGATATCTTCATTCTGAATAATGTTGTTGACATCTTTGAAGGCTTCATGACGAAGTTCAAAATCAGGCTGATCAATCCATTTTCGATCGAAAGCATTGATTTTTGTTATTATCCTAGCATCTGACTTGAGTTTTTCATCTTCTGATTTTTCAGCAATTACTTCCAAAATGTGACATAATATTTTGCGACACGATGGGTATGATATTTCTCCGAATAATGGGGATATTTCCTTGAGATGGATTTGAGGTTTCAATACATTTTTGATAAGATTATCAACCGTTGTCATGTATTTAAGAACAACATCTTCTGAAGAAAAGGTACATCTTTTTAAAACAACAGGTAGAAGAAGACTTAAAATTTTATCACTGATTATGGGTTCCCAAATCATTTCAGAAATTGCAGATAATATGAACAGCTCCTTTTTATTCAAATATTTTGATTTTTTTAAGAGGTTTTTCTGAATTTTATTTAAAATGATGGGTACATGTGGAACCAAAATCATGCTTCCGTAATTCAGTTTACCATCTAAACCTATTTTGTTCAATTCTTTTTTGTCAACTGGCAACTGGTTATCAACTGGAATAGACATTTGTTCATCTTCTTCGTCAGGTTGTAAAGTCAACAAATTTTCTAACATTTCTTCGATAGCATTGATTACCTTCATTTCAGTTTTCTCATTCACTAGTAATTTCATGACGTATGGTAACACATACTGATTGTGTTCATTTTCCTTGCATTTAACTAATAATGGAAAATACCTAGGATTGGAGGCCCATATTGCAATTAATTTAAGCAAAGCAGTTGGACTATGAATACTCTCAATGTTCAATTTACTTAAGTTAGGCCACACAAACAATTCAAATATTGTATTGATTTGTTTGTTATTCCAGGAGTACTTAACAAATTGACTGAAAAATCTTCCCAGCATTTTCATGGCAGAACTGCGAATCAATTTCAACACTGATAAGTAACCTGAATGTACCTGTTCTACATTATCAAAAGCCACTTTTAAAAAGGCTCCAATTATCATTAAAATTTGAAGTAAATATGACAGAATTGTATCTCCCATTAAACCACCGCATTGTTCCAAAATAACGTTCAATAAATTTATAGTACTCTGCATCCTCTTGGGTGGTAGGAAAGTATCCAAACTTGTGTTATTCAATATGGATTCAACCATCATAACGGGATCATCATGAAGATAACTGTTATATAATTTCAAAGCTCTTTGTAGAAATGTGAGCATTTCATTCTCTTGACATCCTGCTAAAAACCTTAATATCAGTCCTCTTCTCAATTGTCCTGAAGACTTTCCACCAGTCCTCATTCCAGTTTTTGCACTCATTTTGCTGAATACAATTTGCATCACAATGGGGATCAGCCCCTCTCTGTGTTCCAGAAGAACTATGTCGCTATCTTTATCAACTTTAAATGTAGTTATTTCGTTTTTAAAATTCTTATCGTCCACTAAATTGTACAAGTTTTCTTTGTACGGTGTTAAATATTTATGTTTATAAGTCATGATGCAATCCAATGCAGCCTTTTGAATACTTGAATCCTTGTGTTGCAGGAGATCAAAATACAGTTTGCACAATTCAGGCTCTCGATACATAGATAAAGGACTGTGGACTTGTGAAAATACCTTCAATTTACACAACAAAGTTTTAATTAACATCGTTTTGTTGATATTTGATGAAAATTTTTTTGATACTTCGGGTGAGATATCCTTTTGATTTTCAACAGAAATGTCTGTTTTTTCTTCATTTTCCAGAACGCTTTCTGCATTTTTTCTGTCTTCAAAAAGATTTTCTTCAGCAGGAAGCATTTGTTTAATACTCTGGAATACTGCAACTTCAGAATTGGTTGTGCGATATTCTGATTCAATAAAATCAAGTAATAATACAGACACTTCTCTAGTTTTAGCTTCTGCAACATTAGGAAACAAAGACAATGCCTTCCACAACTGCATTCTATAATTAACAAAATCTGGTTTCGATGTTTTTTCATAGTACTTATGAATCGTTTCAGATTTTGATTCAATTAATTCTAAATCATGTTTTGGAGATTTCAGTTGGTGACAAACATTTTTCAGTTGATATCCAAATATATCCCAAAAAATATTCAGTTCCATACCAAGAGCATGTGAAGAAATTATTTTCAAGATAGGCTCCCAGAGTAACTGAAAATTAAAATATAGAGCGCCACAAAGGTACCTTAAAGGAATTGTTTTAAATGGAGTTTGCATACACATTCTCATTTGAGGCTTGTTGAAATTCAGTTTTTCAAGGTTCTGCAATTGATCTCTATAAGTGTGAACATCTGGAGTTGTGGACTCTACACTGTAAAAAATCGAAAAAATCTTCCAGCTTTCTTGTACTGAATCTGAATCAGCATTATGTTTCAACTGAAATTCTGAAAGATTTTCAAATGCCTTGTATATGTGAGTTGTTAAAAGTCTGATCTCATGAAAAGGAGAACTGAAGTTTACCTGCATTGTGTTATTAATTTTCATCAATGTTTCATATGATATTAAATTACTTTCACCGTTCACAGAGGTGACAATCAAACTCAAAGTTTGCAAGGCAGTAATATAAGCAATATTAGTAGTTAGGTGCAATATTTTTGGCAAAATATGATTTGAAGTAAAATCAGCAACATGTGAGGTGTTACACTGAATGTGAATAATACATTCAACTGTTACATTTATCAAAAACAAGCATGTTTTTGAGTCAACTTGCTGATCAATCATATCTAAAAAAAATAATAATTTATTTTTGAGAATTTCAATGATTTCTTCATCATATGTTGAAGTCAAATGTGGCAAACAAACCAAGCTCTTATAATAATCATCATAACTTTTGATCAAATCCAAACTATTCACTTTAATTTTAGAAAGTAAAATATTCATAATGAAACTGGTATTTTCTTTAAAATCAATTGGATACCTGACCCAATTCTGTAAATTCATACCATTAATACATAGCGGGGCCTTCTTCTCAACAAGTCTTGTTAGAATCTGAAAACAGTCTGAATCCAACTGATTTTTTACACATAGTCTCAAGAAATTGGGCAAAACATTTCTTTCAAAATAAGAGTATGTACTAATATTATCAACAAAATACAAAAATACAGATTTATGAGTAATAGACAATAATTTTCTAATCAATAAAGAAGCTTGTTCCTGTGAAATTTTGACGTTTTTTGATACAAGTAACAAAATACATATTTGAGTTATAGTTAACAATGCATCTTTTTCCTCGTTACAAACATTTAGTAACTCCATCAACGTTTCTACTAATACAACAGGATTCTGTAAAAATTTTCCATTTTTATATTCAACAGATTGCCCCACAAGTTTCAAGATAATATCAATATCTTTTATAACACTAGTGCCTTGCCCAATTTTATATTTTTCAGTAAGATTCTTCAACACAACAACAAAAGTAGACCACAATAAATCACTTTTTTGTGGATGAACATGAGCAAGAATGTTTGATACTACACCTTCCATAATTCTGAATAATACATCTTGATTCTGCTTCACATCTGATAATGATTCCAAAAGAAGTAGAAAAAAAGAATCTGCACAACTGTGAAACTGTCCCTCAACTCCGTAGATAACTTGAAAAAGGAGTTTACCGCATCCAGCAATACCATCTTCTTCATTTTTCACTGATCTCACAAGAAGATTCAAAAATGTCTTTTTATCCTTCACTTTCCTTGCTACAAATGAAAAACTTTCTGCAGCAAAACTATTGATGTAATCTGGTTTGTTATCCGATAGGAGGGGTAACAGAGCTTTGAAAACTACGTTAATGTCTTTAATTAAATGTCTCCACAAAATTTTGAATAAGTAGGCCAAGCAAGTGAAAGTCCACTCCAGCTGTTGGGAACATTTGGTATCGAGTAAATAAATCAGCACCTCCAAAAATTTTGGAAAATATACATAAAATTCCTTGTGAAGATCTTTGGCAATAGCAACTACCAAATCTAATAGAGTCTGTATGCTTAATGGGTTTTGCAGCTTCAAATGTTTCAATAAAATTTCAATTACTCGATCCTTTGATATCAAAATTTGAGGCAATGTCACCAAATTATCTGCACGAATTTCTTTTCGAAACGAGTCATATGCTTCACTCAGATTCAATACATTCCATTTTATTATTGTTTGATAGAAATATGATTCGTTTTCATCTGACTGTGATTCGTACTCATGAGCCACTTTATGAAACACATCCACATCGATTTGTGCTATACGCTCCGAAAACGTTAAAAACTTGAAGGTATTAGAGTCTTTGTGATGAGTTGATTTATTCTTCATGGTGATGTTGAGATTTCAGCCACTATTGATGAAAATCCTCAAAATATACTCATGCTTTAATGTTCATATTCACAAATTTCAACAATTTATGGGTCAATTCATTCATCATTATGTACTACCACAACTAGCACCGTCGAAGTAACAAACACAATATACCACACTTTACATTTAGTTAACAACATAACCCTAATTTTGACATCTTCACATTCTTATAACCTCTTTCACACATGCTTATACATTCTTTCTTCTTCTTCGTTGTTCATGTCGCTGGTGCATCAGCCAAGGACATTATTTCGAAGTTCAGATCTCTCATTTCACACATACCATTTTTGTCACACCTTGTTCTCATTAGGTTTTCTTTTTATATGTTAGTATACTAATATACTGTTAGTATATTACGTATAGTGAATATGTGAAGAATTATTTTCATTTAGACAGTGATGAAACCTTGCACACCCAAGAGACTATTCGACCACTACAATTAAGGATAGAATAAATGAATCAAAATAGCCTTAAACTTCATACCGGAGAAAAGAATCTACATCAGTATCCAATCCTTAAGGTTGGCGGTTGAGTACATCAAACTCACTAGAGTGCTATCCGTATCACTGAACTTGCATTGAATATATTTGCTAAAGGAGCGCAAACGTATTAAAAACTAGTAAAGTATGAATTGACAGTCTATTCATTAGAATATCACATATGTCCTAACTGGGTGCATTGGCCCAACCACCGACATAACTTAAGGTTATGTCGATGGGCCCAACTTATGGTACAACTTTCAGATTAGAGACAGTGTTGCTATATGTTGTACAGTTGTACAACTTACATCCACGTCTTATTATTACTCTGAGCATAATACTATGTTACAGCACTATTTCGTACTGTATTGTACGTCTCACACCTTTTTCGAAAAATACCCTGAATTGTTCAATAACACGAGGAAATCCATTTCGGTTTCTGTCAAGACCAATAAAGAATAAAAGGTGAATAAGAATATTGAAATAGCTGTCAATTCTTCTTTCAGACTAAGAGAATTCTCAAAATGAACGTTTAACGTTTAGCCTTCTTGGGCGAGTTCTTGAATTCAATAGAAAAATTTCAATAGATTGATTTAACCACTAGAAAAGTGCTGACGTTTCGAATGTTCCAATAGATTATTGATCGGTTCAGTGGAAGAGCTCGTCAGTAAAAAACTTGTTTATTGTCTACTTGTTTATAAAAATTTCACACATGAGTTTTTTTTGCCTTTTCTTCGATGGTTGGATTGAATGAGGACAAAAAATAAATGATTTCAATCGACGTATAGCTACTATGGTAAATTTCCTAAAGATAGCTTATGTTTCAACCAACAGAACTCGTAAAAATATAGGTTAACCAGTATTGTTACTCCTGCAGTAACTAACCCTGATGTACAATTTTACTTAAAGATCCACAACACTCAACCTGAAACGCTTATTTCATAGTTTACAACAAGTAAGGTAGTTGTTGCTTATTTCGTTTTTCACCGGTTAACCCAGAGGAGGGACAAGAGAGAGAGAGAGAGGTGCGAGAACATATTTACGGTCGAGTAGGCTCTGAAGAATTTTGAGAAAAGTATCATACCTTACCACTAATTCTAGCAGGATATTTCAATGTTTATGTCGCGTCCCAAGAGGAAAAATTCACAATAAACTTTCCACAATATAAATTACAAATACAAATGAATAATAACTAAAATGAGCCTACCACAATACATGCAATAACAATCGATGCAGTTTTCTCTAGATATCTTTCTAATTTTCATTCGATAACATGTATCTTATTTCTCTACTATAAGCCTTATTGTCTCGGTCTTACAATCAACCAATATATGTACATATAGATGCAGCTAAGGAAGTTTTACTGCAGTCGTGTGGTCTGAAGCATACTTGCTTTTTTTATTTTTTCCGACTATTAGAACTCAGAAATAAAGGGCACTATCATAAAAATAATAATGTTACGAAAAAAATCATTAAAAATATTGATAGAAACACTCATCGAATCGTTTTTGATCCCCGTTGGGATGTTGAAAAAAATATTTATTTCCTTTTACTGAAAAAATCGAAAAATAAGGTCGCTGCCAAGAAACAAAAATGAGACAATGGGAAATAACCAAAAAAACACTTCGAATCGTTTTGAACCCTGTCGAGACTGTAGAAAAAAATTCCTCGTACTTTAAAATCCGAAAAATAATGGCGCTGTCATTTGTTAACCATCTACGTCGGGATGACAAAAAATATTTAGTTATGGAAAATAAATGATGAAACACTCATCAATTTTTTCTGGATCTCGTCGGGATTGCGGAAAAAATAATATTTGTACTCAAAAAACCCGAACAATTAGGACGTTGCCATAAATTCAAAAACGTCGAGAGAAAACCCATGGGAAATGAAAACCAAAACACTCATCAAATACTTTTGAACCCCCGTCGTGCTGGTAGAAAAATAATTTTACTGTCCGTTTTTCAGCTGATCCCACTATTCCACATTATCTCATCCAAAGATATACAGTAATACATGATAAAACTCAAGATAGACAGGCGATAGTAATTCAAAATGTCAATAGAAAAAAAGAGGGAATGAACATTAATTAAATCTGGCTACACGTCCTAAAAGGTCCAGGTTATCCAATTAAGTGAAACCAAGCCACGCGCACTAATAATAATATAAAACTAGAGTTAAACACCAGCATCAGGGCTGCTCCTGGCTATACAATTGCTATACAATTCAATATTTTTTCGTACATGCATACCACATTGACGAAAAGCAAACATTTTGACTTCATTTGGTTTTGAATTGATTCGAACGAAGCCACGATGTATATTTACAAATTTCAATCACTTCGTCCTTCGCTAGTCGAGTAATCTGTCTTCCGTCTCATTATGATAGGCGTGTCGCCGTGTCCGTCTGTCATAGAACTCATAGATACGATCACAGAGCACAAAGCTCTTATTTTTCAGATCAGTCAAATGTCAAATCTGCCGAAAACCCATGACGCTAAAAGAAAAATAAATCCACAGTGAGAAGAAAAAAATTATGAATTTCAAATAAATATTTATGAATGATAGTTGGTAGTTCACTTCACCCCTCATGATTTTTGTTTTAGGAGACTTTGTGTTGTCATTTGATTTGTTACATAATATAAGCTAAAGCTAGAATGCAGAATTTTTAATTAATATCAATGCAAATAGTAATCAAATCAATATATTTGCAATAATCACTTCAAAATATTTACATTTCACATACGATGGATCGTCTGCGCATGCGCTAATCGCTTTATTCCATCTTTGCATCATGTGGGAAGCTGAATTTCACTAGTTCGGACTTCCATTGTCTATTATATAAAATGATTTGAAATCCCTGAAACAAGTAAAAAAGAATGATTAAAAAAGAATAGTTGAAAATAACAATTATATTAAGCAACAATAAACCTGAAATGAAATGATAGTAAAATAACCTACAAGTAAAAATATAATAATTGAATAAATAAAAATTAAAGGAATGCAAAAAGANCTAGATGAAAATGAGCTACTGCAATTTGATCCTATTGTCTGCTCTAAAATCGTGTCTGCGTTAATTTCAATTTCATTTGGACCACGGCTTCTAATTTGAGAAAATCCATTTTTGAGAGTGAATTTATCCCCTCTTTTGCAGCGACGAATTCATTCTATTTGCAAAGTTGTGGAAACCATATCCTTAGCAATAGAAAAAGAGTGAAATATTACATCAGTAACACCACTTTTCTTTAAAGTCAACTGATTGCTTTTACAAGTTGACACTGCATAAATACGACCAGGCATTTTAACTAAAAATTACAAGGTTATTTGATGGTTAGACTATTATTATTTCTATTATTTGCAAAAATGTGAATAATTCAAATTTTCCAATTCTAATTTGAATTAAATTAAGAATTTAAAAACGTTCTTAAAACAAAAAAAAAGTTCCACAATGGCAAAAAACAAACCCCAAAACGGAAGAAAACATAGCAGACTCTTATATGGCGTCTTCTCGTTACACCAGTTTAAAAAATATCCAAAAGCACAAAAAATACGACTTTCACAATAACAAACTCAATGTTTCAGAAACCTAACTGGTATAGTTAAATAAAAATTTAATCAAAATAAACAAAAACAATGTAATACTGTCCGAAAATAATCCTCAAAAAATGTTAAAATAACACACAGTCTTATGGCAGCTACTAAAAGTGTCACCAGTGTTACGTCACATCTGCTCGGCGCTTGTTTAACGTGGCAATATATGTAAGTAAGCAATCCTGTATGTCCATAATCGTTGAGTGTTGGCGAATATTGATGCTATACAATTATAGCGAAAAGCATACATTTTGATCTGTCATTTTCGTACATTTTTTTTTTGCCTTGGAGTCATGACCCATTTGTCTCTCTGACAAACATCAGTCAAAAGAATAAGGGAGCTGGGCTCCAACCTGAACAAACTCAAGACGACGTGCAGTATCGTAGTTACTGTGTTCAGGTTCAGAACAACGGGAACAACAACTCGAGCACCAACTAGGGCACTGCAACCGTTACTACATCGCCTTTTATAGTGTCTACCGGAATGGTAGACGAAACGGCACGCATAAAAACCTTCAGATCACGGCCAAAAAACCCGGAAAATAGCTTTCACACAGTTATGTCCGACCGTGAAAATTTACATTCTTTGATTCCACTACTGTTACATCGGAAATGGTAAGACCTACATGATCCGATAAATTGGATAAAAGTTTTCTATTTTGGGGAACTGGAATAATCTCTTTTCAATTATCTCTCAAATTGTTCAGCTGTTCGCAATCTCAGTTTCAAAGGGAGCTGACATCCAAAAAAGTGAAATCCATGACAGAGGCAAATGTCAATCTAATTATTCAACAAATAACTCTCCATCTCACAAGCACTATTGAAACAAAGTTTGCACATTTATAAGAAACACTCAATAGCACTGACAAACTTATAACAATCAACTCAAATAAAATTCTAAAAATATATCAAAGGGTTGACTTTCTCGAACAATACACCAGAAGATGTAACCTTAGATCTTAATCTTAATCTCAGGCCTGAACAGAATTTGAAAGAAACGCTTCATGAGTTTTTGACCAATAAACTTAAAATATAAAACTCTATATTGATATTCTGATATTGAATAAAGTATATTCAAAATATCTGATAAGGTTTTGTGTTGGTGAAGTTTTCCATATACCAAATGAAGCAAGCAGTATTCAAAATGAAGAATACACTCAAAGCCTCCAAAATTAAAGAAGATTTGACCCCTTTCCGTCATGAAACCGCAATACTGGCTGGAAATAAATATGGATATAAAAATATATGAACTATTGACGAAAAGCTTCGTATGAAGATAAACAACAATATAGAGAAACTGAGTTTCAAAGATTTATGTAAACTGGTTGAAAAAGCTCTCAAAATGATCAAAATCTGTATTCCTTACCCAAGTCCAGTTCTAACATTATATTTAGTCAACAAATGCCTAGAAACTAGTATCTTTCCGGAACTATGGAAACAATTTATTATTTTTGCTATAAACAAAATTTCTAAACCTTTCACACCAAATGATTTGAGGCCCAAAAATATAATATTGGCAATATCAAAAATTGCAGAAAAAGCAGATATACTCTTACGTCTCTCATCTTGCCTGAACACCAATCTGGTTTTCGGAAAAATCACAGTGCCTACATTTAGTGCTCTGCTGAAAATGACCGACAATATTTTTTCAGCCAGTGACTTCTCCAAGGTTTTAAGTTATTCAACATTCATAAATAGGCAGACAACACTAATTTGTGCTAATGAATTTGTAAAAAATGAAGGTCTCATTTTTACAAATTTACTTTTTATTACAAAATGTAATAAAAAGTCCCTTTACAGTAATCAATGTTAAACGAATGAATAGAAAAACAAAAGAAGAAGGCATAACTATATATAAACCAACAGCTACAATTTTAATTACTTTCGAGGGGGTGGTTTTGCCCAAACATATTAATATGTGGTATATGTCCTATACAGTATCGCCATATATCCCACCAGTTATCCAATGCTATTCATGTCCGAAGTACGGCCATACAAAAAAAATTGTAAAGGAAAAAAACGGTGATTCCATTGCGGGGAACATCATGAAAATGATGAAATTTATGAAACATGTTGTAAAACCATGTTGTTTGAATTGTAGTAGTAGGTACATAACATAAAACAAACAGTAGAGAATGTAGGGAATATGAGAGACAAAAACAGATAAGAGATAGGATGTGTTTTGATAATATTTCATTTCATGAAGCAGAACAACTTTATCCAAAAGATACAGGCACTCATAATAATCCCAGAGACTATCCTACCTTGAATGAAGACAATCCAGAACAGCTAAACCATATATCTGTTAGCCAAAGAAGGGGAGTACCTACATCAAATAGAAAATCCAAACAAACGAACATATTCACAATCAGTAAATCAAAATAAAAATATCAACTCAAAAAACAACTTACGGGAAGGGGATATGATAGTCTTGAAGGAAGTACTACTTAATCCAGATGGGAGAAGGCACCAAGAAGGCACTAGAAGGACTAAACATCATTAAAAGTTTTTGCAAAACCTGGTGGGGTGCAGATCATAAAAGTATGTTCATGGCATTCAATGGAATTGTAAAGTCTCCTCTAGAATTCGGGAGTATACTGATAACACCATGCACCAAAAAAAATCTAGACAAATTAGATAACATTTTCAATCAAGAATTAGACTGATTACAGGTACTATGAAATCAACTCCAATTAATGCTATTTTGGCTGAAACTGGAGAACTGAAACTGGAATATAGACGACAATGGTTAGCTTCCAAATTCATAATAAATAGGATTGACTATGAACCCCCAGTATTGAATATACTTAAAAAATTAAGCGAAATTTGCAGTAATAAACAAGGATACTGGAAAACTAGGAAAACTCCGTACTAAGTAGAAGCTTTGGAAAGCGTTTTTATATATAATGGGCAATTACACAAAACGGATATTATCTCATGCTTCAAGACATCAAAATCCAGGATCTTAATTTGAGAAAACAAGACTCAATTACAAGACAAAATTTCATATCGTCTACAGAAAAATACAGCAATGAATATAATTTCATTTATACAGACGCTTCTAAGCAAAACGGGAAAGCAGGGATAGGCATATATTGCCCAACAAACTTTAACTTTTCAGCGAGGGTAGCTGATCAAGCTACTATATGTGACGCAGAACTTATTGCAATATACATACAGGAATGATGATGTGTCTAGAAAATGATTTAAAAAAAAACTTATCTTAAGTGACTCTAAAAGTGCACTAGAAAGAATTGGTAACATGAAACTAAGTGCAAAAACAGATTACATCACAATTAAAATTAAACAAACTAGGCAGTTGGTCGGATTGAATGACACCGAGTTCGAGTTTGCGTGGATTCCAGGGCATTCAAACATCGACGGAAATGAGAAAGCTGATAAGTTGGCAAGAGTTGGCACGATTCTTAATGTTCCCCTGAATATCAAATTAGATAAACATTCTCTACTACCAATTTTTAAAAATAATATCCGGAATGCCTTTAGAAAACAATGGGCAAAAGACATTCTACTCAAAGGAAAAAATTACCAAAAAATTCATTCTGAATACCCTAATGAAGTATGGTATTTAAAATTCCCAAAAATGGATAGACGACATATCACAACAATAATTAGAATGAAAACAGGACATTGTACCACCAGAGAACATCTATACAAACTTAACTGTATTGATAATCCATATAGTGAACGTGGAAAAATAGAAACTTCAAATCATATATTTTTTGAATGTCCAATCAACGCTGTCCCGAATTTTGACTTATATAATCAAATTATAGAAAATGGAATCCAATCTCCACTAACCATTAACATTGTCCTAAGCAAACTCAGTATAAAAATTCTAAAACTACTTATTAAACATATTGATTAGAACAATCTTAAATTGTAAATAAAATCAATGCAGAGATGACCTGATATAACTATTATCTTCTTTAATACCCCTTATACACATTCCTATATCATTCATTACCCTACCCTTTGCATGCTAAACTTTTACCTACTAACAGATTATAGCAAAATATACTGTTACTAGATAAAGAAGACAAACGCAAATAGATGGAAAAATAATTCGGATTACAGCATGGTGCATACCAGACAACGTTGTAATCCCACGATCGACATGGCTTAAATGCACCTCAACGGTAGCAAAAGCCATTATCATAGAGAGAGAGAGAGAGAGAGAGAGAGAGATATTCTTTGGTTCTATGTTCTATGTCTATGTTTATAGCATTTATGGGTTATGTTGAGTTGTAGTGTCAGAAGTAAAATAATTTTTTTTATAAAAATTTAAAGAACATCGGCAATCCCTACTCGAAAATTATGACAGAGAAATTAATGGAAGGTAATCCCGATCTTGTAACAAATGGATCAATTTCTACAGAAAGAACTGCCACCAAACCAAAATCAGGTTTAATGAAACTATCAAGCTATGTTTTAGCACTGAGACCATGGTCTCTTAGTGCAAGTTTAATGCCAACGCTGCTGGGCTCAACAATTGCATACAAATATCCGGGATCTACAGACTTCAATTACATTACTCTATTATTGACTTTGTTTACTGTGGTGTCAGTGCATGGGGCAGGAAATGTAGTGAACACCTATTTTGATTACGTGAAAGGCATAGATAATCGAAAATCAGATGACAGAATTCTTGTGGACCATATACTGAGCAAAGATGAAGTGGTTTCACTGGGAGCATTATTGTATTTTGCAGGATGTGTTGGATTCATTCTTCTAGCTAGTTTATCACCTGCAAAAATGGAGCACTTAGCTTTAGTGTATTTTGGAGGCCTATCATCAAGTTTTCTGTATACTGGCGGAATTGGATTTAAGTATATTGCCCTAGGAGATGTGTTAATTTTAATCATATTTGGTCCGATTTCAGTTCTTTTTGCATTTATGTCGCAAACTGGGCGAGTTGAATGGGCTACAATTTATTATGCAATACCTCTAGCATTAAATACAGAGGCAATCTTACATAGTAACAATACCAGAGACTCAGAGTCTGATAAAAAAGTAGGCATAGTTACATTGGCAATTATAATTGGTCATACAGCTTCTCATGTACTTTATGCATTTTTGTTATTCACCCCATATATAATGTTCATGGTAGCTTCATTGAAGTATTCCAAATGGTTTATGTTGCCTTTAGTTACTTTGCCAGGAGCATTTAAAATTGAAAAACAATTCAGAACTAAGGATATTCATACTGTACCAAAGAAAACTGCCAAACTGAATCTTTTTTTTGGTGTTTTATATGTTCTAGCATGTAGTTTGGTACCATCTTTACCATATATAACAAAAAGATAGATGTTTGAGATATTGTTAATTTTATTTTTTCTCTTCAGAACATTGTTCTCTGTATTAAAAAATTTAATTATTTTCTGAAGAGATAGTTTTTATATTCTAAGAAATATCATCTTGAAGACAACTTTGAACAAGGTACCTAGACTTAACAGAAGTAAGCATGTATTTACTTCAATTCCCATAGGAAATATTATAAATAATTAATAATTTATTTCAGCATGAGCTCATACATATTTTTCTGAAAGTATGAATTTATTGAAAGAATTCAGTTCATTTAAATATCAGCGAGAAAAAGAAAAACACTAAGCATTGACAGTTGTTGAAATAATCAGTGTGGCAATGTAGTAAGTTATTGATAGGAATATCAACTGGATTGAAAAATATTTTCGTGGAACTGGAAAATATACCAAAATTTGGTATCTTTGGAATCAGATTGATTTTGCTAGTATAAAAAAAACACTGCTTTCCTAGCTTATGGAGTGAGTGGCTATGACGAATAAAAGATGATGGCTCGAGGTAAGAGATTTTGTCATTTTGTATTGAAAACTAGTCAACATGATGTAATATGAAGCATGTCTTATATAATGTATTTCAAAGTTTCAACTATAGGTGTGATTCAGATGGGCTTTCTATTGACTTAAGTTACATACTATAAAAAAAATGGATTTTTTTCAAATCGCTTGTAGACTTTTAGTGATCTTGCAATGTTTTCATAATCTATCATGTCAAATTTCAACTAAAAGGGTGTCGTAGTATTCAAAACCTATTCTATCGCTACAAAAAGTAATCAAGCAAGTCTGAAACAGGACTGAAATGAAGTAAATCCATTACCATTGAATAACATGAAAAATTATGAGACTATTCCATGAAGATGAGACTGGTTCATACACTTTAATAAAAGGAGGCAACTATAGATTTTCTCTCAAAAGAAATTGCAAAGCAAGCATTAAAGCTAACTATTTGGGAACTTTTAGCAGCTGATAATGTTGCTGCTGTTGAAAGTAAGAAAGTAATTACTACTTATTAATTGTTGAAATGTTGAGCAATCACGAAGAAACTGATACCCGTTTCATTCTGTATATTTCAGGTTGCACTTCAACTTCTTGAAATATCCAAGTAACCAAAATTCATACCTGTACACGATATTGAAAGAAAAATTTACTTTAAAGGGAGAAGTACTTTTTCAGATCAAATAAAAAAATGTATTTATCTAGTTTTAGAGAATTATTGGAAAATATACACGATTCGATAACAAAGAACTCAAGAAGATGGAGACATCAGTCATTCAAATGTATAACAGCAAAAAGCTGTCATTTGAAGATATAAATAAAGTCAACGGCTTAAGCATTGTTCTCACACGTAATGAACTTTGACAAACTTCCACTGGCAAGATATGTTTCCAATCAACACTTCAAATGGGCACTTTATCACATTTTTCTGATGGACTGTTGACAAAGCCTGTGGTAATCATACTATTACCGATTCCGGTTGGAAGATACAGAATGGACATCTAGGTCTCATAAAAGGCCTGAATGACCCAATATCACATAAATACCTGGAGCTCATTTTTTGCAATTATTGGTCGGGTTTGAATATTTTCTGCCATAGTGGCGCTGAGAAAAAACAAGAGTTCATGAAAGATAATTCTCATATATGTGGAGTGTTTTAGAATGATTATGAAAGAAGGTTAACGATTGATATTTTTTCCTGTGTGTGATGAAACTGGCACATACTTGATGGAAATTCATTCAAATAATACTTCATTGTGAGTTTTTTCCCCAAAAGTTTACAAAACAGTGACACATGTTTCAGTATTGAACATGCCTGAAGGACCTATTGTATATTGAAACCAGTGTTATGGTTTTGTAAACTGTTAAGTGAAAATATTACAATAAAGTGTTGTTAGAATACATTCCCACCTCTTTCCGAAAGATGTTGTGTAGTGAAATATGCTCTCCAGACTGATATTTCATTTCAATTTCATTCCTATACTAACCTTGAACACCTGAAAAACCAATCTCTGACACCAACCTAGACATTGGCAATCCTTGCGGTATTCTATGAAAAATAAATGGATTGAAAATGAAAAAACATCTGATATTATATTTTTTAGTTCAATTGTAATGGATGATGAATATTTCAGTCCTTCAAATATCAACCAGTATCTACCGATTCGGTTAGCATATAACTCCAGACGAGGAGGAGGTAGTAAAATAGTCATAAATAAGTTATGTTTCACCTGCTTTCCATGATTTGAAGTCAATCATGAAGCTAAAAACCATTGGAAAATAATTTATTAGAAAAAATCTGATATAAACTAGGTTACCAGATTTTTAAAAAATTCTAATTTTATTTTTTATTTTGTTAATATCTTAGGAATGATACCAACAGCTAACATTTTCAATAATATTCGTTTGACTTTTGGGAAAGAAAAGTTTTGGCTTTCTACTTCTCCATCTTTATGCAAAAGTGTGGGAATCTTTCAAAGAAAGGAAGGAAGCAATCCATTTCAAAAAGGTAACTATAACAAGATGTGTAGATCATGCAAAGAAATAACTTTCAGACACAAACTGAAAGAAAAGCTCTCTCGTAATCGCTACTTTCATATAAAAATTGAATTACTTGAAAGAAAAATACTTTTGATACAAAAAATTTTGTTTGAACACTGAATTACATAAAAAACTTTTCTCTATTCTCTATCCATAACATTTGTTATGGATTCGAATCAGATATCATTCACAGGATTGAAATTAATATACCTGGTTGAAATCAGATCTCAAAAATATTCGAGGTTCAACACCAGTGCTGTTTTTATCAGTGGTATTGGGCTAAACACGGAAGCAGTGTTGGACATATCTGCCATTAAAGGAAAAGCCTGTTGAAGTATGGCTTTGCAAGTGACCGCCTTGGGAAGACCCCTCTATCTTTGATATTTTCAGATTGATTTTTTGTCGTTAGTATAGATGGCGTTTTGTAGGAGAAATGTAATCGCCCTTTACTATTGAAGCATCTATTTACCTTAACCATAAAAATAAGTTGAATACTTCAAATTGCTTTCTTTTTGGCTAAAAAAACAACATAACTTTGTACTGATTACAAGTATATCTCTTGTTGGTAAAATACTTTCCAGTCCGACGAAAATCCGTTATTTTAAGAGTTAATTCAGATTGGCCTCTCTACTATAATGAAAATATTAAATGTAAATAAATTGTACAAAACTCGAGGGATTTCCACAAAAGATTTACAGATTATTATCAGTAATACCAGGAACCTCGGTCTGTATCTGATTTTTTATATTCAATATATTAAGTTTCTATTCTTGTTGATATCTTTAGTTTATTATTATTATTATTATGTTATTGTTCAACATCCTATGGATTCTATACATCTCGTTTTTGGAAGTTGATTGAATTACAATTGGTTGGTATCACAATTAACACCTTTTCTTGTTCAAACATTCATTCATATTATCAACGACTTTACCGTCGGAATTATTTGTCTTCGTGGCCAGATGATATGTCTCAACTACCATCATTGACACAACAAATCTGATGATATAAATATGTGCTCGGCAATGAAAGAGTATACAGCTGTCGCCAAGTAACTTGCAGAAGTGCAGGTTATGCAGCAGAATAATAAGAATAATCTGCTGTGCATTTTCGCGAAAAATCCACAACTTGAAGGTGGATTGATGCAACTATGTTTAATGATTGGCAGGATTGCAAAAATATGAGTAGGTGGTTAAAAGGAAACTATGAAATAATCTTGAAATTTGTTTTTACAGTTTGACTTGACAACTGGTAGGAATGCAACTAGCCTTGATAGTCCCCCTCAGAACACGAAAGCTAATGACTTTAGTTCTTGATGCTGGTTGCACCAAAACTAAAAAAAAAAATGGAATTTAGGGAACGTGGTGACATAATAAATGTGGCAAAATCTGATCTTGTCCTAAGAGAAGTATTTTTCAAACTAAGGTGTTGCATCATTTTGTTAAACCAAGGTTTTTTGATGGTGCAACTAGAAGGAAATAGCCAGTTTTTTATAAACGATATCTTAGGACATACTTATAGTCCAAGCATCGTAATCTCCACCTGTTTTCACTCACATTTGATCATACCATTCATGTTATGAAAGTATTTATTGTGCAAATATATGAATATTCTTTAAATATTTATGTTTGGTGCTACAAATATCTAGTTTTAAATAAAGATTGCAGTACTTTTGTATATTAATGAAAAAATAAAGATAATGAGGATTTTTTCTATAAAAATTTAAACCCTTTTGATAATCCAGTAGTAACTTTAAATTTTTGTTAACTTCAACTCAAACATACATTGAATGATTTAGTTTCAAGAGATGACTCAAATTGAAATAGTGAATTTAATAAAGTTGTGAATTCTTCAATTGAATGGTTATGGTTGCCTGTAGTTCTTTTTTGTACAGAAAACAAGATGTTGAACATTTGTCATATTCTTCTGGACATAATTTGTATTCAGTCTTTATATTTCAATTTATTCAACATATGGAAGTGTTCAAGTTTAAAATTTGAGCTAATTAATCCAGGTTTTCTTTCTTCTAGATATTACCAAAATTATTTTTATGTTTGACCGTTTTTTCCATTTTATTTTCATTTTTTTTTCCATTACTTGAACAAATTTCAAATGTGTTAACAAATCACTTTGATTGTTTTGAAGAGAAATATTTTTCTCAACGAATTTGTATGTTTATTACGGTTTTGCTTTAACTCGTCACATATTTGTCGGCCAGTATTTTGTACAGAATTATTTCAAGATGCATTTGCAGCACCTTTGATAGAAAATGCAGCTGATATTATTTAAACAATTTAAAGAGTTATTTTTATTGTTGTCGCAAATTACTAATTTGAATTTTATATGATTTAATTTTAAGTAAATTATTTTATTCATCTAAGCTTTTTATTCACAATACTTATTACTATGACTTATAGAACTAGAGCTCCTGTAACTGATTTTTATTGTATATTTGAATTTTTCATATTTTATAGAAATATTTATAAATCAGAATCTTCCATTAGAATTAAGTTTTGTCAGGAGGGATATTTGCTTTAAAATACTGGAAATATCAAATGAATTCAAGATTGACAATTCTTGTTCTAGTGAGTAGAAATCATTTGGTATTTCCCATTAGTCCAATAGATGAATTCCCTCAGTAAAAAGATCTGATCGGAATGCTCAGAAAACATTGTTAGACAATAATTATTACATAGCAGAAATACCTAATGTTTTATGACCTTTTATATAAATAATTCTATTGTAACCAAAAGCTGAAATTTAGAAAAGAAAAGATAATCTAGCGAACTGAAAAATATGCAAAGAATAGCCCCAAATTCCAACATATCTATAAAAGTACTTATGAAATGCTGCTCAATGTTTTAAATAAAGGTTCAAAATTACTTCTTTGTTTCGTTAACTTTAAATACCTGCTGAGACGGTAGCCGGTTGGCTTGTCGTGTGTGGTTATATTTACCTCACTCAATCGACTGACAGGTGTAACGGTGTTTCGAACCGCGAGGCCTGACGATTGTCCAACCCGTGCTAGGAATCGCTTGTTTAAAGGTAATACCCTGTTAATCCTTAGCTTACATAAGTTTCTACTTTTAAGGGTTGTCGTTCACAGGAGGGCAACAGCTAGTTAACGAAAAAAAGTATTTGAACATTTTAAAAATTCTGTGTTAGATACATGTTTTCCACATTTTAAAATTTAGAGCATGATTTCAATTCTTGCACATTGCCCCCATATAAATGCTGGATGTAACGGAATTAGCCTTATTCATTCAAAATAAACTTAGTTTTATATGCTTACAGCAGAGATGAACAAGAAACGAAAACATAACTATATTGAATGTCCAGTTGGGACATATCACGAACAGGCCCGTCTTCAGCAAAGTACCCCAGTTTCAACAGAAAACGCTCTCACTGGGATAACCAAGACTCGACAATTTGAGCTGTGGCAAACAGCTGGTTGCGAGAGGAAATGTACAGTATCTACCTACATTAGTTTTATCTTTAACATGAGCTGCAGTTTCCCTTTTAAAATTAGAAAATGAATCTCATTAAGTTTGGTAATTTTTTTAAAAGCTTGATCTAATCTATTAGCTTCACTAATAGCTAATATGTAGGTACTTGTAGTTTCATAACATACTTATGGCATTTTTTTTTTCAATAAATTGCCGAAACTGCAAACGTCCTCGCAATAGAACCATTGATCTATCAAGGGCGAGCTCATTTCCTGGACTGTAAATAGATTTCATCTTCCTATTGAAATAATCCATAATAGGTACAACGTATCTTTCCTGATCGATCGTTGAAGTTTTTGTCATTATCGGAAAAATGTAAACATCTCAATATCTAAAAATCTATTTCTGGATATATAATAGTCAAAACACGTATCTACCGAGCAACTAATGTTTTTACCAGTATAGTCTGCTAAACGGGGTAACTGAACTGTTCCTGTTAGTAGTAGATACCTATAGAAGTCCAAGAAAGACTTGATTCTGTAACCATTAGATAGTCAATTTTGTTATTCTAGAATGTTTTTTAGTTTTTTCGAATAAAAAAACAGTTATTACATAATTATTAGTTTCTACCCAAGAAGGCCGGATATAAGGGAGGGCAAGCGGGGCTAATGTCCTGGGGCCACCATAGGAAAGGGGCCCCCACAATTAAGGAAGATGAAAAAATATCCAAATTTTACGGGTCAGCTAGATTTCGGCGAAATCAACCACTTTTCGTCGAAAGAAGCTCGCAAATCACCATTGGTTTTTTTTAAATTTTTTTTTCAATAAATTTTATTTGACTAACAAATTACTATATTCGTTGTTAAAAAAATTTCATTTGCTGACAATAATTTTTTTAAAGATTTGACAGAAAAAATATTTCTTTTATTGGGAAAATAATTGAAAATAAGGATCTGCACTCCTTCGTTGCCCCATGGCCACGCCACCAGATTTACAAATCCAGTTATATTCATACTAATACCAGAATCAAATTGTATCAATATTTTCAGGTTATGTTTATTCATCATTAATTTGATTTACAGTTGTTATGCAGTTGAGTTTTAGGTAGGCTTGTGTATGGTAGTGGAGAAGTGGTGTACCTAGATGGTAGGCATTTTTGCGGTTGATCTCGATTCTGGTAGAGTTGTGAATGATAGTGATTTTTATGGTATACCTACCATTTCCATGGTAGTTTCAAACTGGTAGAGTTGTAACCCCGTTACACTTTCAACTCGGTAGATTTTCTGATTGATTGGCACTAATGTTAGTAGAAATATAATATCTAACTGGTATACCTCTACTTGCAATAGATAGAATTGTCTAAAGATACTTATATCTGGAATATGGTAGAGTGGTCATAGGGGTAGATATATAACTGGTAAGTAGATTTAGTATTAGGTATGCCGCTGACCTTTGTTAAAAGAAAGCTATTTAATGTTTTCTTCATTATGGTGGGATGAAAGAAAAAAATCTTAACGAAAATATAACAATTATTTTCATTTGGTATTTGGTGCTTTTTTGTTTACTGAAGTGTAAAATCCTTAAATATTTTTCTACAAAAATTAAAATCGTCTTGCCTTAATATTTTCAAAATCTTATATCAGCTTTCTTGTATCCAATCTGATTAAAATTTCATCGTCATTTGGAACTATCGCTAAATTACTTAGTCTTTGTTTGAGCATTGATGATCTAAATAAGTAGTTTTTGATAATTTTTTATTTTGAAAAGGATCTTTCAGCAGATGCAACTGAAACCGACAGGGTAAGAATATTTTTAGAGCTATTGCTGTGTTTGGAAATGTTTAAATTAAGTGAAGAAAAGAGAAATGAAACTTTCTGTTTTTTACCACTTTTATTTGTAACTAACGTTACTGCAGTTTCGTCCTATACGGATAATAAAGTATAAGTTTGAAAATGTCCTTATAGGACGAAACTGCAGTAACGTTAGTTACAAATAAAAGTGGTAAAAAACCATAGAAACTTTAATTTCTCTTTTCTTCATTATGATTTCCTACTACGTGGTAACACGGCTACATTTATCAATTTATTTAAATTAAGTCATTGGTAAAAATATATTGTAATAGGTTTTGTGGATCATTAGACTGATTTTCTGCAAAATACATTTTCAATGTAATTATATATATTAAATTTTTTTAATCAAAATATACTGTATACCTACTACAACATTAGGAGACTTTCAGGACAGTGGACAGTGAAACAACCTATTAGAAACCTACATATAATTTTCACAAATGTTACAAGTAAATGTGAACAGTACAGATACTGATTCCACCATTATGAAGAGTCACACGTAGGTGAAACAAAACACGATCAACTTTGACCTTTGACGACCCATTGTTATTTTAGAACAGACACCGTATAGAAGTCGGTGGAACAGATTTGTTTCTTTAATACTCAATCTATACCAGTCAAATCGTTAGGTATAACGCAAACACTCGAGAGTTGACTCACAGTATTAGTGTGACTCCGTGTTCCGTATAACGCTTGACAAAAAACTGGATCTTTAGGAGTCACCCTATCATCTATTTTTTTATACAAAGTCGGAAATAAAGGATAGCTAGATGTTGCAGTTGAAACAAAACATTTAGTACAAACTATCCATTCCCAATTGGAACGGCAATAAAAATAAGAGCACTACGAGGGGTGTTCATAATCACTTCCCGGCAAATGGGAAATGTATATACTATCAGTGCTTTTATGTTCAAAGCGTCCCTGGTACAGTCATAAACATTTCTTGCCTGTGGCCCCTAGTCGCCCAGATAGTTAGTAAACGTGCTATCAAATTTAGTTGAGGAATAAAGGCTCGGCTAGCTGGACTGGCTGAATACTAATTTTTTGTCCGTTTCACAATATTTATTTATTCGTGCCGTGTGTTCGTGGAGTTAGGTGAGGTAGTGAGTGGTTTTGCGAACCGATTTTTGAAAATTTTTTCTAGAGATCAATTACCCTATTAACACCAAACTAATATTTTTGCACTCGACGCGCGTTTCGCTAACAAGGTTAGCATCTTCAGGAGTATCAAATTGATACTGAATCTAAAGACAAGGGTTAGCTGTTTATATACCTAAAGTCCGCTTTTTAATCTATTGTTGACAAATTAATTTGCAGGTAGTGGTTCCATTAGTTAATTACCGAAAAATCAATTAGGATAATCATCATTTAAGTCCACATCGGACCAAAAAACTTTAGGTATATAAACAGCTAACCCTTGTCTTTAGATTCAGTATCAATTTGCTTCTCCTGAAGATGCTAACCTTGTTAGCGAAACGTGCGTCGAGTGGAAAAATATCAGTTTGGTGTTAGGGTAATTGATCTCTAGAAAAAGTTTTCAACTTTTACACCAAAGGTTCCAATCTCATCGTTTAAACCGATTTTTGTGAAAATCTTAGTGTTTTTGGGTACTTTCATCAATATGGCTTTCTGGAGATCTTTTGAAACAAACGATAACATTACGTGTGAGGAATCTGTGTCAATCGACAGGGATCCGGAATTTGAAAATAAGGACTTACATGTTCAAGTTCAGCGAGTAATTTTAAATATTCATGAATAATTAAAAAAGGAAAACTGTCACACTTCACAAAATGCTATTGTGAATAGAATATGCGAGTTAACGAAACTATCTCGTTCGACAGTTCTTCGAGTAATTAAAATAGGGGATGTCATTGACCATGCAATGAAACGAAAACAAAGGAATAAAAAATTCGCAAACGTTGATGGTGCTACAAAAAATGTGATTCGGCGAACAAAAGGTATATACCAAAAAAATGAAGTACCAATCTAGGAAATGATTTGGTATAAATTACTCGACTATCCCGATTACAATTACAAATCTTAAGAAACTCTACGAGGCGTCTTATTGTCTTGTGGTTTCAAATATAAAAAATTGAACAATCGGATGGTCATTATGGAATCGACACGCGCATTGTTCAACTCCGACAAGAATATTTGACGCGAATGAAAAGCTACCGAGGATCCAGCAGACATATAATCTACCTCGACGAAACTTGGTTTGACACCCATGATGTTGTCAAATATGGCTGGGTAGACGAAACCAAGTATTGTGCTTTGAACACACCTTCTTCAAGGGGAAAACGTGTTATAATTTTGCATGTCGGGAATGAAAGTGGTTTCGTACCTAACGCTTTGCTTCTGTCGGCCAAAAATATAAAAGATTCGTTTGCTGATTACCACGAAGATATGACTGCGGCTTTATTCGAAACCTGGTTCAGTGAGCAGCTTCTCCCAAATATTCCTCCAAACTCGGTTATTGTTATGGATAACGCTTCGTATCATTCTCGGTTATTGACTACAATATCAAACAATAACAAAAAAAGCAGATATTGTTGATTTCATGCGAAATCATGACATGGAAATACCCGAAAAGATTCCAACAAAAAAGGTATTACTGGCGACCATAAAACAACGTAATTTCAAAAAAGAGTATATTATTGATTCGATGTGTGAAACACGTGGTCATATTCTCTTACGTTTGCCTTCATACTATTGTGTGTTCAATCCAATTGAAATGGTTTGAAAGAAAGAAAACTTGCGGAAATGTAATCAGTCACCGACTTTGAATGCTGTGGTGCTTGACAATATAAGGCGAGAGGTGAATGAAGTAGGTAATAGTGATGTGTGGAAGAACTGTGTGGCCCACGTTATAAAAGAAGAGAACAAATACAGGGTGTAACTAAATAAGTGTAAAACTTTCAAAGAGGTGATTTCTCATCGAAAAAAGATAGGATCTTTCATATAAAGAAATTTCATTGGAGCATCCCTTGTTAAGATACAGCCCCTTAAAGGGGGTACATAAAATTTGTATAACAATTTTTTTCTCAAGCACTAAAAAAGTTACAATATTGAAATCAACCTGACGTTTTGTACTACCAAAAAGACACTTAGCCAGTCATTTATTTGGTTTACCCCATGGTTGTAAGGGGTGGAAAACGCAACCCATAAAATTTATTTCCAATGTAACTTTTAATCGGTTCGTATCGGATAATTTTTACTAAACAAGTTTTATGAGTGACTGGAGTCATAAAATTAAATTTGAAGTCATGTTACGATGACGAATAGAAATCGGGAAATGCAGGGATGGTTATCACCGTCGTGTTCAGTTCAGGAACTGATAGCGTTGCGTCCTTGGACAAGTACTAATAGTAATAAGGAGTGTGATAACAACGCAGACTCTTTTCCATTGTAGTGACTCCAATAACGATGGTGAACAAATGCGAAAAAGAGATACCAGTATATAAGACTCGAATGCATTTGAATATTGAAACACAAAGTGTATGTTGCAATGTTTATGAGAATCTACATCTCAAATTTGGTTTCGAGGGAAACAAACTATTACAAGTAACATCAGATTTCACCGAAATTCCTTTCTTGACTACGTAAAATAGTCAAAAACAAACCTTAGATTTGAAAAAATACATATGGTGTATTATGTGCAAAGTTCCATAAATCCGATCGTTATTCAACCCGATGATGATTCCACCTCATCCGAATATAGCGAAGAAGAATTTTGATTTTTCTAGCAATTGTAAGAATAAGTAACTGAAAAACTACCACTGAAAAATAATATGCCGACGCCTCTGCCGGGGCGGGAATTCCTTCTCTGTGCTGTTCCAATTGGTATTGGAAATAATATAGCATTGATGTCGATTTGAGAGGAATTATTGTCTTTACTGAATTTACGAGTATTTTCATCCTTGCAGTAAAAGTGCAATAATCGAATTTTGTGAGGATTTTGTAAGGAATTGCTAATTTTTGAAAGAATTTTGATGTTAATTAATTTTTGTTACTGAAAATTGGAAAAATGTTATTGGAGTTTTGTTGAGTATGTAGTATACATTGGTTGATAATGCAGGTATGTGAATTGTGTTCCTTTTCAAGTTATTTTTAAATGTTAAATATACCTGTAGTGACACGTGACGTATGATGAGACGACTGTCAGAATTCAAACTGTCAATGAAATGAGATGCATTGGTTGGTTAGGGTTTACTTTTAATAATTTATGATTTTTTGTTTTCTCATTTATCTAAAATTTCTTGTCCTTAGATATTTTTGATAATCTTCATTGGCATGAAAAAACATACTCACGACACCTCTAAATTTGTTAGCATTGGGATTGCCCTTCCAGTTAGCAGAATATGTAGTTTGAATGCGGTAGTCTGTTTTCAACCTCAATAACAAAATTAATGATTGAAGGATGCTATCAATTGAGTATTTTTATAAATTCAGTGCTATCAATTGAGTATTTTTATAAATTCAGTCCGAGATTTAAGGAACCTTGGATAACCCTAGATATTTTATTGCTCCGAGGTATATCCGCTATATTACAAACACATAAATATGATTGAGATCCTGTGGTTTAATACTCAATTTGCTGTCTCTAGACTGTTTAAACTACTGACAGCAGATTGTGCCACCATTAGAAAGTGTTATTTTTAACAAAAGGTTTAATTTGAGGTTAATACATTTATATAAACAAATATCTAACATTAAGTTTCGAAAGAAACCAAACATCAAATATTACTTTTAGGTAAGAAAACATTTAGATTTCTTTGAAGCAAATATGTAATATTTCACCAATGACATTCTACACTAAATGTTTGGTTAATTTTACAAATGTTCAACAAAACATGTAAAAAATCAGTTCCAAAGATATGGTGAATAAAGGTTTCAAAAAAAGTAAAATATAACAATTGGCATTCAGCTACAAAATCTAAAAGATAATAATTGAATGTTTTATATAAAACTGATATTTATGCAGCCCACTTCAAACATCTAGTGTCCATATGGGTATCCATACACCTAATGCTGCAATATCTAGTCCCACAAGATAAACAAGAGTATTGCCCTAGAAAACCACACACTGCACAAAAATGACGAGGGGGTAAGGGTGATTCCTCACATTGTATGTCCATATAGGAGACTCTTTTGTTAGCCTCTGCTTCTGCTCGATCTTCATCTACAAGTTGTTGGAAGTTTTTACGAAATTTGAATTGATAGTAATCAGTGGTACGCTCTTTTCGTTTTGTTCTTGTACTTCTTTGCTCTAGACTATCCTCAAATTTCGGAACTTTTTTACTCATAACTAGGTCTGCATGAGGGTCATCATGGTAATTGTCAGATTCTAGCAGTTCCATAACTTTCCGATGTCGTCGTTTACGTGATGTTTCATCCACAATACGTCTTTTATCATTTTCCTTGATCCGGTTGGAACCACGGAGCGTGGACTTAGAAATAGTCATGTTTAATGTTTATAATTAATTTAAGTCACTATTTCAGGTATTTTTTTTTGTCACTTAGACACTAACCACTTTTCTCTGCTAAAGGAAAACTAATTTGATCCATCAAATCATCTATTTTGGCTTGTAAAGTGTCCAAGATATCTGCTGAAATAAATAAATGATTTTCGTCCAAGTCTTGTATTATAAATTTTCTTCCAAGCTTCAAAGTCTCATCCAAATGAAGTAAAAATTGTTTCATAGCCTGGTCGCTGGAAAAAAGAAAAATAAAATATAATTTTGCTTCGAAAAATATTTTGCAGTTATTTTCAGCTGTAAGATGTCTAAAAAAGGAGTGAGTGCTGATGAAAAGAAAAATAGAATGTTGCAGTTATTTTATGAAAAAGGAGAATGTTTTCAACTGAAGGTAAAATTATTTGTCTTAAGTTTTTATGAGTGTAATACATCTGAATTGAATCTGAAACTTTCTAATGGAATTTGTTGATATCTGATGAAAATCTATGATGAATGTATAGAACATTTGAAGCCTTTCCATTCTAAATGAGCTGTGTGCCAATTTTAAGGAAATCAAGTTTAAGTTTTTATTGATGGTGTGCCAAGGGGCTCCAGACCTAAATGAGCTATGTTTCTACTGTTGTTATTTTAGGTGCTATTGACAATCAACGTTGGCTTTGATGTTAACTCCACCTAACTTTCAGTTTTATTGAAGCTAAGTACCAACCACCATTAACGAATCTTTAGTGTGGTTTTGACTGCTGTCGGCCTTTAGTTACATATAGTTTGAGGCTCTATAGTACATGATGGATGTTCTTTTGAATTATATAGCTTTTATATAATCTTTTAAGGAGGAAGATTCTTTTAAAATGTAGCTGTGTAAGGCCAGATCAAGTATGAAATTACTTTATTTTGATATTTCGACTTGACAAATTACAAAAGTAGACAGGTTTTTCTTCAAGCATGTTCAATACCCAAAATAAACCAGCCCAGCCAGAATGAATGGCAAATCCTTACGTAATTGGTACAAATCCGATTGCAAAAAATGTAACTGCACGTTACATTTTGCATGCCCATAAATATTTTAAAAAAAATTTCAACTATTCAGCTCGTAATGAAATGCCCTAGGTTAAATTAGCTTTTAGGATTTATACTTGCTATGAAAAAATTTCAATTTTCATTTAGTTTCATTTCATTATTTAGATCCCTATGTTTATGTAATGTATAGTTTAAATATTTCATTAAAGCAGTATATTAATTGATAGTTATTTTTTTTGCTAAATGTACTTAGTTCTTTTTGGGCAATACTATAGATGGCAGTTTCACTAGTTCGGACTTCCACTGTCTACTATATAAAATGATTTGAAATCCCTGAAACAAGTAAAAAGGAATAATTAAAAAAAGAATAGCTGAAGATAACAATTATATTAAGCAAACAATAAACCTGAAATGAAATGAAATACAAGTAAAAATATAATAATTGAATAAATAAAAATTAAAGGAATGAAAAAAGAAAATAATAACTGATTCCTCCGAGAGATGACTATTTATAGGTCGTTGAAATACTTTCACTTTCTCTGCTTTCCATTTTCCGCTTCACTGATTCCGTGAGAGATGACCGTTTTGGCGGGAGTTGGCCATTTTTTCGTTTGATGATGGGTTTCCATATGTTTCGTATTTCTAGGCTGGCCTGGCTGAATACGTTGTTGGACAACATATGCGGCTTCCTTAAATTTTCTCCTAAACCAATGTTCCTCTCTGTGCAAAATCTCAGCCTGGGACCACTCGATGTTGTGTTGATGGGTCCAAACATGGTCTGCTATTCCTGATTTGCTGGTTTCTCCTCGCTGTGTGTGTTTCTTGTGCTCGGCAATGCGAACATTCAATGGCCTCTTAGTTTCACCAATATAGGATTTTCCGCACTCACAGAGGAATCCTTGTTGAGGAAAGGCCTGAATTTTGCCATTACGCCAACAGCTGTGCCCACTTTGGAGATAATTACTGCAGTGGAATCCACCAGTTCCCTTATTGACCAGACCGAGGCAGAAGAGTTCAGATGGGAAATTAGAGAACAGTTGGATCGAGAACCAGTTCCAACATCTAACATCAGCAAGGAAGAACGTAGAGCTCTGAACGGCCTACGTAGAGACAACATCATCAAGATCCTACCTGCAGATAAAGGAAAAAATTTAAGGAAGCCACATACATGTTGTCCAAAAACGTATTCAGCCAGGCCAGCGTAGAAATACGAAACATATGGAAACCCATCATCAAACGAAAAATGGCCAACTCCCGCCAAAACAGTCATCTCTTACGGAATCAGTGAAGCGGAAAATGGAAAGCAGAGAAAGTGAAAGTATTTCAACGACCTATAAATAGTCATCTCTCGGAGGAATCAGTCCAGTCATCACCCGAAGACGATTGTAGATACTAACAATCGAAACGTCGTGAACTAACGTGA